ACCATGAAAATATTTAGCTTTTAGCCAGAATTCAGGAAAGGAATTTATGAAATGAATAAGTAAAAATATCACCACACTCACATCCTTTCAAAAACAATAGGTTCTCTAACAGTGCAAGCCTATGTATGCCTACATAAATATAATCCCAACTAGGTGCCACTAGTTTTCCTCCTAAGTAAGTATAAATAGGTTTGCAGGAAATGATTATTTTGGTAGATGGACAAAGTGATCATACTAATCGCTTCGATCCAATCCACAGCTGAAAAAAGTCAAAGTATATTATGGGTATACTTTTGCCTAATATTAGTAACCTGACCTTGCTTCCCTTCCTATTCCATTGTGCATCAGCCTTTCTGCTCCCTCATTCCCATGGAAAATGAACTGTAAGCTCCTCAAAGCAGATGCATGCCTCTTGCTTATGTTATTCTGTAAAGCATTGTTTGCACTGATGCCCCTGAAATGAAAATAAGAAGCTAGGAGAAGGTTCAAGAATGTTACTTGCTCAGTTGCATTTTTTATATTGGTTGATGTTATGAAGGTGCTTCCCTCATCACATCAAACCAATGCCCTACAAGCTGCATAGGCATGGGGAATTAACAGTGCATGATTGATCAGCAGCCTTAACATTACAAGGAAATCAATACAACAAGAACTCCCTGGTATTTCATTTGGTTATATCCAAGTTCTTCCAAAGCATGTCCGTCATCACTCAAAAATATGCTTTGTCTCACCCCTCTTATGAATTAAACACATCCAACGTCACCTACCAAACACAAGAGTACCCATGCACACTTTCTTGCTTTTGCTCCCTTTTTGCTAGGAAGTCTTAGATGTCATTGCACAACCTTAAACAACCACTTCCCTGGCAACTTGTACTTTAACAGACCTATAAGTGTAAGAATTCAATTTTTAAACCCTAACATATTAGCTATACTGTGGAATAAGACTGAAAAGGAACCTTCAATAACATAATAGAGAGTGCTAGAAAGTAACCACCGGGTGCTTTCATATGAGCTTCAGAAGTCTTGTTTCCACTCCAGGTCATTTCCTAATGTGAAAGGAGGAAGGAGTCTCATCTGCATTCTCTACAGCATATGCAGAAATAAATAATAAATACTGTAGGCACAACTGAGCTCACATCTACATGCATTCCCTTTCCAACGTGCGTGCAATATTTTCATACTGTTTTGTATGCCAGGAGGTCTAACACAATAGTGTTTTGCTAGTATCCTTACTTCAAGCACAGAGCGTTTTTTTTTCACGATCACAGTACCTTCTCTAATATTGTTGGGCTATAAAGGTATTTACTCCATCAAAGATTGTGTGATGCAGATATCATTACAGGATCTGATTAGATCATGGTATTTTAATAGAGATCAAATAGTAGTTTTCCTTCTTTTTTTTACAGTGCCTTTAAATTATCCCTTTTCTCTGTGCTATCAAAGAATGTTAATTTTAAAGGTTTGATCTAGGGATTCCCATGTAAGTGTATAGTTATTAAGGAAAAAAGAAAGAAAAAAGAAACAAGTGCTAGAACATTTTAAAGCAATGTAATCAATATTTTTTTCCTTTTTTTCTTTGTGCAGGTTTCTCTGCGACAATGACCAAAAAGATCTACTTCAGATTTGGAAAACCAGCTTTAAAGGAAAAGCCAGACAACAGAAAGCAAGGAAGTACTCACCTCTTCACGTAATTTTATCAACTGCAACATGAACGCACAAAAAAAGATAAAAAGGAAAGAAATGGCAGGAAAGAAAGATCAGTTGTGTGACAGGATACAGAATTAACATTGACAATTTATCTGTTTACATGTTTAGCATTTAAAAATCACAGACAAACACATTAAAAGAACCTAAACATAGACTACATGCAGAGTTTTTTGAACGAATAAAGATCACTTTCTCACACTGTCACATTAAACAAAGAGAATAGTGTGAAATTCTCTTTTAAACCACATCTAAGACACCATCATGAAATAAAGGGGAATGACTTCATAGAAGTCTATAATATAAAGGGAGAAAACAAGTTTACTATTCCTCTCTTCTAAGATTGTACAGCTGAAGTGATTTTGTATATACAAGTTTTCAGGATGTTTTTGTATTTTTTAGTACTGACACCTGCCTTTTTATGTACCCCAACACATATATCTTATTAAGTAGATCAGTATACATAAAAGGGATGGCCACAAAGACACCAATTTATAGAATTATTTTAATTTCACTATTATTTATTTGTGTTACAAATTAATAAAATACATTTATTTGTAGAAAATGAGTCACACACCAATTAAACATAAATGGCCAATAAACACATCAATTATGAAACTGGAATGCCACAGGCTTTGTTTTTGTATAGAATGTATTTCAAAAAGGTCATTATTTCCCACTCAGCTTCTTTCACTTCTACACTTCCATTAATCTTAAAGTAGCTGGACTCCTTTCAATAGATCAAGTCAATTATACTGCAAAATACTCTTTATTCAGAATATTAGTCTGTTGTTGAGCACTGACTGTGTTAGTCCATTGCAACAAACACAGTCAGAGGAATGGAGGAAGGGAAAGATTTTCTCTACTAAGGAGTGTGGAAAGATTTTCTCACTGATGCTATCATATTTTCTCTATTATGGTGAAAATTTCTTAAAATTCAAGTGGCATAGCCATTTGTAAACTAATTTTAAACTCAGGTGGCAAGCAGAGGGTTGCTTCTTTTGATGGATATGAAATCTCCAAATACAGAAGAACACAGGAGGTCCCTTATGTTCACTTTGTCAGTCTAAAATTAAGACATGTACTATTGCCAAATCTGTCAGGAGATGGTGCTTCGAATCATTTGCAAGAAAGCTGATGTAGTTAAGAGTTCTTTAGAAAAGGAGCTTTATGAGAATTTTATATCAAGAAAGAGCACGCACGTTTTCCAGTGCAACCCCACCTGTTCTTAAATTGAAGCACTTTGCAATCACTCTTTCGTTCACTCTCTTCTTTTCTCCTCATTTTCTTCCCTTCTTTAAAAAAGATGATCTGGCAGTTGATCACATCACTATTCCCTTCCAATCCCCCCAACCTCAGGTCACCAAGTCTCAGCTGGCTATGACACTTTAAGGGCCAAAGTTTAAAACTACTCTTCTGCAATAGAGACCATTTGGGGCATGACACCCTACTATAGTCAATGAGAGTTTTAAAATGCACCACATTTGTTTTTTCAATAGGTCCCAAACAAAAAATGTTCTATCTTGTTTGTGCTGCATGGCTGAATTTAAGCTCTGCATAGGATTTGCAACTGAGCTAAGTAACGGGAGATTTTCTTTTCTAAATGATGACTGAAAGATATTCATTCAAATCAACAAAAGACTTTCTCCCTTCAACGACAATGACACTCAATGAATTTCTATTGCTTGTAGTTTTAAAAAATGTAATATATAAGGCACACCAAATTCAGTCAAACAGCCTGAAAATATGTGCAGCCACCATTTTACGTTATGATAATCAGCATATTTTGAAACAAAGATTCTCCCCCCCCCCCCCATTTGATACAAGCGGTAATCTGTTCCTTTGTAGACTAAAAAAAAGCTGGTTTACGCTGGTTTGAACCAGTGGAATCTCTTGTGGCTAAGCCTTCTGCTGTGAGCAGAATCAAAACTGCATCGCAGAGTGTGTGCGTGTCTGTGAGGCACATCACGTGACGTGGGGAACGACCGAATTTTTTCCCCCAAGAAGCTGATAACGCTACTGCCGTCTCTGCCCGCATACAGATAACGAATAAATGCTGAACTCTATTAAACGCCCTTTACACATTATCGTGGGTCGAACACACAATTTTCTGAACTTGTGATGACAGTCTATTTATTTTGCTATAAACTCTCGGCATGTAACGAACAGATTTGTGACTGGTAATGATCTGCTCTGCCAGGGCTATATGAAGTGATACCGACCTTCTTTAGATCTTGGGGAATTAAATTGACCAACTTCACCCCCTGGTCTGTTTCTGGAGTTTTGACACACTTTATGCGCACAGCAAGTCCAAATCTTACATTATCAGAGCTTCGTTGTAAAAAAAATTAGGTAACCATATCACCACAAAATGTTTGTTTTCTATGGGTAGCATATATACTATCTCGATGAATTAATTGCTCGTTTTAGTTGCTCATGGTGATAACAACTATCCTAATTACTAAAAGAAAAGTTTGGGATAAAGATAACAAATTTTATTTCAGAATCTGGGACCCGTAAACAGCATAGGTTTACACTCAATTTGGGTTCAAACAATGTATTGATCTAGTATGTATGTTCTTTTCTAAACAATATACCTATCACGTTGTTAAATAAACACAAAATATTAAGATGTAGTTCCAAACTAGAATTGAATTGTTGCATCAAAGAGCTTGGACATCTCAAGGGATTTGATAAATGTGGTCACACAAAATGAAAGACGACTGCTTAAAATAAAGTGATATTTAAGATTTCTACAAATACAAATAAATAATATAAGTGTGTGTTCTGGGCAGTACAGTGGCAACACTGAACTATTCTGTATAAATAAAGTCTATTTCTGGGGACAAAGACAACCCAAGAAGGCACCATCCAGTTTTGTCTCCTGCTTTTGTACTTCAAAACATGCTGCATCTGATTATGTTTAACTGGAAGGAAATTAACAAACACAATTAATGAAGAAAAATAATGAACACAAAATGCAAGAAACGACTTAATGAAAAACACATAATATATTCCAACAAAACCATACATATTGAACCCAATTGTATTGAAAAAAACATAGCAACTTATTCTGACAGGAAAGCACAGCTTTTACACATATTAATGTGCATATCTTATGTTTGTTGCTGCCTTGACGAACACATCAAATCACAAAAACCACCCTGTACAATGTTGTCAACAGGACCCAACACCTTTTTTCTCAAGAAACAAATTACTGTAATATAGAATTTGAAATATTTCACAATCTTTACTCTTTCCAGGCAGGGTATTCAAAATTACCTAAAGGCTTATGCTTTGTAACTACTAGATTTAATAAAGTCATGCCATTATACTTTTAAAACACAACTTTGCATAAACAAACCTAATGGTTGCACATATATGCTAGCTAGCAAGAAAGCATTACAGATATCTGTGTTTCCTTCTACAGCTGCCTAATTTTGGAAGTGTTTAACTTTCTTGACTGGTCTCAGTTCAGAAGTTTATCAGGTGCTGTTAAGAGGTCAATATTCCGAGTTTGAGAAAATCATCCAACAGCAATTTTTATGCAGCATCTGCCTTTGATTGATTCATTTATTGATTTGTGTTATGTTTGGGGATTGAAATGGGAGACAACACACTTTTCTTGCTGCCACTCTACCTTGTTAAATGGTTAGAAAGCAGCAAATAAACCAGTCAGTTCAGCATTTTTAAAGTGCACTTAAGATGTTCTAAACTTGTCCTGAAGAAATGAATGCAGCCACTGTCCATAGAAAATTCACAGATTCGCATCTAGAATCCTACAGTTCTAGGCCCAGGCAGTGCTGACCAATGATAGAGTAATAAAATGGTGTTTTTTTTCTGAAGGAAATGCTTAGTTTTATTCTAGAACACTGGCAGAGCTCACTTTGAAAGAAACAATAATGCAGGTTATACACAGTCTGTTAAGTGGTTGAGAAAAATGGGGACACATTTACTCATCACAGAACAACCTTTCTTTCTATGTCAATTTCAAGTTACCACAAATCAATCCTTTTCCGAATCCATGAGTGCATAAACTGTAAACATGTTGGATACATAGGTAAATGTTTCATGTAGAAATTTTCATAAAATTAAGACACTTAAATCTAAAAGAAGAAACTTAACAGTAGTGATCTAAATATGGCATTCTAATTAAAATAAAGATTTTAAAACCTCAGTTCCCCTTCAGAGTATGAGCCATGGTGGTTCCATGTATAATCCGAAAATAGGCTGAAGAATTTGAACTCAGGACTCAAAGGGTTCTTTTTAAAATAGGGAGTTAAGTAAAAAGAACGGACCCAATCACACTAGAGAAAAAAATCCACTTAAAACCCGGTTTCTGCCCCCTGCAGAATTCTGGGGTTTGTAGTTTAGGGAGGAGCCTTTAACAGCCTCACTAAACTACAGACCCCAGAATTCTGCAGGAGGCAGAAACTGGATTTTAAGTGAATTTTTTCTGTAGTGTGTAGTAATGAAGTAGTAAGTGTCATTTTTTCCCTGAAATAAATATCTACTTTCAGATGAAATCCTTTCAAATGTATGCAAAACACAAACTAGTATTTCCTATTCCCCTAAATGTGTATGTTAAGGTGTCATGGGCTATACCTGAATTACATAACACAGTCAAAGTGATGTACTTTGAAGTGCATTGATTTCTGCAGAAGATGGATATAAAACTTTTCTCACAACACAACACAACATGAATCTTTGGCTGCAATATTATGTAATGTATAATTTAATTTCATAAAAAATGCAAAACATAATGTGTATAGAATTTCACTTCATCGATAACACAGCTTGGAAAAGGAATGTTATATGTATAGACAATATATCAAATGATTTCCCTAAAATAAAGCAGAAACAAGCTTCTATTTAATATTAAAGAAATAAGACTTCGTTGTATGTCTATTTGACTTCACATCCCATTACATCAAAACTTAGTTGGAAGCTTTTGAAGTTTTATTCTGGAATAAAGGCAGACACAAAAATACACCTCAGAAACAGACCTTTAGCTGAAACTCTGTATTTTAAGGTTTAAAACCATGAGAATAATTTGTTATAATAAATGCAAAAGTCTTACAAAAACATTGGCTACAACGTAACAAACACTGCAAACCCAAGAAGATTTCAGAAGAGGCATATAGCATTGCCACATGCCTTAAACACTAATATCTTATACTGCATCAGTATATTTTTAAGCATAACTTTCAGTTTTATGCAAAACACAAAAAAAAATCTGGTTCAGAGAGAGGCAACCCACATAGAAACAGAGAAAAACTGTCAGATTCTGGAAGCTCATTTTCATTTGTTTTGCCTGCCAGTGTTGATTTAATTATACTCCGTTCCTATCAAAGCTGCATTATGTAATTTTTTATTCCTTTTACATGTGTTTGAGGTGAAGACCTTGGCTTTGTCAGCAAACACTGTGTTTCAAGCTATTCCTTAAGTATCCAATAATAAAGAAAAGAAGAAGAAAAGATTTTTTTTTTAAAAAAAAAGGAAGATAGCAGACAGTGATCACAAGGCAAAAGGGTTAAATTGTAAGATCTCCAAGAAACATTTTGAAGTTGATTAAGACCCCAGCTTTGCATTAAACAGTATCACTTCCACATGAGTTGTTACTAATGCTGTTAGGGAGCAGCTTGAGAAGCCCGGTGTGCCAATGACCTCCTTCACCCTCCAGCCACCCACTATGGCTTCTTCATTAGCATCCTACCTGGATCTCTGAGGAATTCCCATCATCCCCCAGGAGGTCATTCCGCACCTCGTCACTGTAGGCAATACGTGACCTTTTCTGTAAAACAAAAAAGAGAAAGAGAGAGAAAAAACATGAGCAAGCAAAGCTCTGGAGCCATCACTATCAAGGCTGATCATCTCAAAACCTCGAGAGCCCTCTAATGGATACCTATTTGATTTTTAAAATATAAATCTGTAAAGAAAGTTCTCAAAGTCATTATAATGGGATGTTAGATACCATAAAAAACATCAATTTTAGGAGGGTTTTAGAAAAAAATAAAATCAAAATTAGTTATCAAAGCACAGTACACAAAGAAAAAAAGATTCTCTTATTAAAGTCAATGTACGCTTCCCCCAAACCCTATTTTTTAAAATTCTCTGAACTTTTCCCCTCCATTCAAGTAGTCCTATGTTATTTTATACTACTCTGATTCTGTTTAAAGGTTTGATCATTTGAAGTTTTTTGGAAATTTACCAGGTCACAGAGACAAGTGAACATACACAGAATGGGTTTTAATTTTCACATTTAGGAATTACCGTCACCTCTTTATATTTGCATACACACATACTCCAACAATGGAACTAAGTATGTGCATGCGAGCGTGTGCATCAGAAGGAGTTAGACAGGGGGAAGGAGATGTTAGGTTTCCACCATCTAACATCTGAATGAAAACTTTTGATCAAAATCTAACTGGTAATTCTCAAAACAACAATGTTATCTGAACAGAATTGGATGTAAAAAGTTCTGTTCAAACAAAACTCATCACTTAGCAGTGCACCAAAAGAAAGCACACTGGCGAACACAGACTGCCTTTCTGGTTTTTTTGGGCAGAGATAAAAGGTAAATGAATTAACTGATATTAAGCAATAGGGATCATTGCAATGTTGCTGTTAACATAGAAAGAATACAATTCCTTTTCCTAAATTGAAGGCAAAATTTTATGATAAAAATATCTCTATTGCACTGGGACACAAACAGAGATTAAATTGCCAGCCGTGATACTAAACAATTTATTAGATTAAACTGTTGTCAACACAAATGGCCCATAGAACACATTTATAGCACTCTGGCAACATTTAATTATCATGGTTTCATTCTATGGGATCCTGAGATGGGTAGTTTTCTTGTGGTACTTAGAAGTCTTCAGGACTACATTTACAAGTATCCTGTGAATTTTGAATACCTCAAGAAAATTACATATCAAAATGTTATAACTTGCATGATGTGGATACACCCCTAGTTGGAAATCCATTTGACATATTTGGTTATTTCATACGGTATATGAGGAAAGTTAGAAGCCCTCGGTGGTGCTGAGGGTTAAACCGCTGTGCTGCTGAACTTGCTGACCAAAAGGTCAGCAGTTCGAATCCAGGGAGCGGGTGAGCTCCTACTGTTAGCCCCAGCTTCTGCAAACCTAGTAGTTTGAAAACATGCAAATGTGAGTAAATCAATAGGTACTGCTTCGGCAGGAAGGTAACGGCACTCCATTCAGTGATGCCAGCCACATGACCTAGGAGGCATCTACGGACAATGCTGGCTCTTCTGCTTAGAGATTGAGATGAGAGTCGGACACGACTAGACTTAATGTCAAGGGGAAAACCTTTACCTTTATGAGAAAAGTTAAGAATACTAATTGAGATTCCCATGCAAGATGTCTGCTCACTGCTTCTTGAATTGTGGGTCCAAACTCCAAATGAGGTTCACTTAACTCTATGTTGGGGTCACAAAACAACTGACAACAGTAAAAACCTTTCTGAATGCACAGTAATGTTATGTAGTAATTACTGTATTTACTAATTTAGCACCAAAACATTGCAATGTATTGAAACAGCTGAGAATCCAGGCAGGAGGCAGACTTTGTTGGATAATACAGAACGCTGGATGAGCGAAGGTTGGATAAGTGAGACTCTACTGCAGGCATCCTCAAACTGTGGCCCTCCAGCTGTTTGGGCCTCCAACAACCAGAAGCCCTAATAAGCTTGTCAGGAATTCTGGAAGTTGAAGGCCCAAACAGCCAGAGGGCCGCAGTTTGAGGATGCCTACTCTACTGTAAATAAAATAATATTAAATGAAAATTTAGCAATCAACTGTATTGAATAGACCAGGGTCCTCAAACTAAGGTCCGAGGGCCGGATGCGGCCCTCCAAGGTCATTTATCCGGCCCTCGCTCAGGGTCAGCCTAAGTCTGATATGACTTGAAAGCACACAACAACAACAATCCTATCTCATCAGCCAATAAAAGGCCCACACTTCCCATTGAAATACTATTAAGTTTATATTTGTTAAAATTGGTCTTCATTTTAATTATTGTATTGTTTTTAAGTGTTATCTGCACTACAAATAAGATATTTGCAGTGTACATAGAAATTCATTCTTCTTCTTTTTTTCAAATTATAATCCAGCCCTCCAACAATTTGAGGGACTGTGACCTGGCTCTCTGTTTAAAAAGTTTGAGGACCCCTGGAATAGACAATTACTGCAGAAAACTTCAGCTGTAAATGAACTCCCACAGTGAACATTTGAAAAGCCCCACTGTCTCCAGTACTTCACTACTCAAAATGAAATATAGTGTGACTCTGGTATTCATGGATGGTACATTCTAAGACCACCAACCCCCTGGATATTTGAAATTTAGGTAATAGTGACTATACTTTGGCTACAAGCATACCATACAATTGCACTGGAGGACCTAGAGAGGCCCACAAACACTTCTCTAGCAATATTTTTGGAGTATGGCTAAATGAAACCATACACTCTGCATTGGGGCACTGTATGAGATGCATGCACATGGATATATACAGTGTGAAAATGGGCTGTGAACTTGAAATAGTAGATATTGCCCTGAACATGCAGATGAGCTTTCATTTTCACTTCTCAAATCTTAATTGCAAATATTGTGTTACATTCTATTTTGCCTTTTTATCTGCCTATTTTAAAAACAAGTGAACACGTTTGAACTCCAAACCATTGGATATGAGTGGTAATTTTAGGCCTGATATCTCAGTACTGAGATAGATTTTTGAGTGTAATACAGTGATTAACTCACAAAACAGATTGTCAAACAGACCACGAGTTAAACGCAAATATTGCTCTCCCCTCAGCAAATAAGCTGCAAGCTTTTTAGTCTCCTTTTTTTCAAATCTCAATACTCAATTATACCTCAAATTACCTTTATTATTATGTAACTATTGGTACTCGAGAGAGATTAGATATTAAAGCCAATGTCATACAAACTATAGAAACTTGTGTAATGGACAAAATGTATCCAAAAAGCCTTTTTTACTATTTGGATATCTCAGACACAGCAGTTTCACATTAACCAAGTAAAAGTAGTCTCTACAGCATTAAAGGAAATGGGAACCTTTAAAGAGGCTCTGGTATCAGAGCTGCCTGTTTAAATTATTCATTTCATCACTATGGGAGACTAAAGCATTTTGCAGTATGCAAGAATATCATATGGAGATGGGTTTTGTTTTTCGCTTTTTTCACCCAAAAGCCAACAAATTGGCATAGATTGCTCAATTATGATATTATCCTATTTTGTGTTTGATATACATCAGACAAGGAAAGAAGTTACAAATGCATGTCAATACATGATTCAGCCTTTTTTTATTTAAGATTTTCTTACTCCATCTGAGATCTAACAGTTTAACTAGGCATTGTCGCATAGCTCATCTTAGTTGTACTTTTAAATATATGCAACAGAAGTGACCTGAAGCTAACTTGCACTGGCCATGAGTATTCTTTCTGCTATTTACAGTATAAGTTGTGTGTAACGTTTCAGGCCAGGACTAGGACTATTATGCCATTCAAATGCAATCCCGCCTGATGCATCCCTACAGTACAAGCATGCATATACACCACTGGAGAAGGTCTTCACATCTAATATCTTCATGACTTCATTTGTCCTCTTGAAGCTGGTCTGGTCTGTGAAGGTAGAAAGTGTGGAGAACCCTTACCTTTAGCAGCCAGAATGTGGGCCTAGTGAAGCCTGTCAGCCTGAACCGTTAGAATGTGAGCCTAGTAAAGCCCTGGTGGCCATCTTAGGATAGGGAAACAGGGAGATGCCATCTTACGTCAGGTTTTCTTAAAGGGGATGTGTCCTAGTCCAGTAAGCAAAGAGTAGATGGCCAGGATTGGTTAGGAATATGGGGCGGAGCCTAATATTCAAATAGAGGGGAAAAGTGTACCTTTTGAATTTGAGGTTGAGTTTTGGCAGTTGGGATTTGGGTAGTCAGTTGGTGTTCACAGTTGGATAGTGCTAGATACAAGAATTGGGTTAATCTTTTGTAGTATTCAAGGGCTAGAGGAGTTAGCCAGAAATACTGACAGTGGGAACAGGACTTTGCTTATAGTGTGTTTCTTTTATTCCTGAGGAAGGCTAGGCTAAGGTTGTTTGGCTAGATTCCAGAAAGTGGGTATCTGGTTTGGAATTATCATCAGAGATTAGTTTCCTGAGATAATCTCCTGTTTTGTTAACTCTAGATTTGAATCACAGTTAAAATAGTCGGTATATAACACAATCAATAAAAACTAATCTCATGCTCAGCGTTCGTCTTTCAGAGTTCCATAATTCCATTCCACTTAGTCAATTCCTGTCCATTGTTAAAGTCCTTTCTTTATCTGCCAGATTGTCCGAATGCCTGGTCCCAAATCCCTGTTTTCAATTTTTTCCTAAAGGCAAGGAGGGATGTCGCTGATCTAATTTCCCCGGGGAGTGAATTCCACAGGTGAGGGGCCACCATCGAGAAGGCCCTGCTCCTCGTCCCCACCAATCTCACTTGTGATAGAGGTGGAGTCGAGAGCAGGGCCTCCCCAGAAGATCTTAGACTCCGAGGTGGGACGTAGAGGGAGATCCGTTCCAACAGTACCCATCTAAGAATTGTACATCAAACGTAACCAAAAGCTATTGTGCCATTCACTTACAGAAACCATTACGCATTTGTACCAGAAGAGTTTAAGTCTGTTAAATAAACATTTTATTATAGTTAACACATTACAACCGCCTGTGTGTGAACATCATTGGTATTTAAACCCTCTGAGGACAACAAACACCA